CTTTCTACGAGCATATGTTTCACTGTTGCACGTAATTTTTTGAATTTTTGTACCAGATGACTGCTTGGAGATAATTTCATTTTTCTTCGAACAGTGTTCTTTTTCTTAATTAAGTTCAAGATTGTTCCATTAATCCATGGTAAGGGATTTCGTCCTTTGATTTTCTTACGTGGTATGTGCTTTGAGACTGTGTCGAGAAAATTATCTTTCCAACTTTTCCAGTCGTCGTTTATGTTTGCATGATCTAAATTCAAACATAAGTTCTTAGCCGATAACGCGGAACGCAAGCCATCGAAATCTCCTTTTCCGTAATCATAAGTGTATCTGTGACTCTTTGTTCGAACTTTGATGAATGAGTCAAACTCGTAGAATATGAGACAATGATCTGTAAAGAAAATCGCGTTTTCTGGTGACTCGACATTGGTTATGGTGATATGTTCCGGGACGCTGGTGATTACGAGATCAAGTATATTATTACCGCGAGTAGGAAAGTGGTTGACTTGAGTTAGAAAGTGATCGTGTAAGACTTCGGTGAAAGGTTGTCCATTGGCATTAGTTGTCCTGAAGTTGTTGTTCCAGGAGATGTTTGGCAGGTTGAAGTCACCAGAAATAACCAGTTTATCAAATTGATCGCCAGCTTCGCCGAGATAGGTGTTAAACATATCTAACCAGTTTGAACCGGAGTCCGGGGGGCGATAGCTGGAACAAAAGAGTATCTTTTGATTTTTTGATGTTATTAACTCCGCTGCCACGATCTCCAGTTGTTCTAGTTCATTTGTTGCATTGATTCTATCAGGTATATACTGTTTCACACTCGTAAACGAACTGTTTTTCACTGCAATTAGAACACCACCTGCGCGTCGAGAATCACGGTCCTTACGGTAAATGGTGTAGTCTTCATTAAGTAGTTCAGTGTTTGAAATATTCTTGTTGAGCCAAGTTTCATTGACGCAGATAATATCAAGGTCGTGTGTGTAAATAAGATCTTGAAAGCAGTTGATATTGCTGACTTTGTCCCCTCTGTTAGTGTTATGTAAACTTTTTAAACTTCGAGCATTTAAAGTAACGCATTTTACGCGTATTGAAGGACCTGGATTAGTCTCAACGTCACCGCAAAGAAGAATACAAATTAAAGTGCTTGCATTGTTACGGTTTATTTGAAAATCCAGGCCATAGCGATGAAACTTGGGAAGATTAAACTTCCTTAACACGACATCACGGGTTGCCGTCCACACGAAGCATAATTTTTCAGGAAGAACAGTTATCTCAGCACTTACATAAACGTTTTTAGGGTTGCGCGAATTCTCCTCAGGATCAGGAAAAAACGTTAACTTGCGCGATAACGAGACAACTATGAGGAATGTTAACAGTTTTCTCATCACTGCATCATCAAACAACTTCCCGATGAATTGCAAGCTCTTGGTAGCTTTTGATAGTGATTTTCCTCTACGAGATTTTCGATTGGAGACAGCCATTCCACAAATTGATCGTAATTAAATAATTCCGCGCGAATATGATAACAAATCCACGAATTGCGCGAATCTCGTCAACAGAAAATTCGTTAAATAAACAAATAACGTCAGCAAACAGTTTGACGTATCACGCTCGCGTGTGCGTAATGTCTCAACGGAATTTCTGTTAATAACCAATGAGATCTAATAACTAAATCCACAATTCTTTGATACTTATTCGTCAGGTAGATTTATGAAAACTGTATGCAAACCCCAGGAAAGTAAAGACTGTATCTTTATCTACCACTTTTCCAATAAATTGTAATTGAATCTTCAGTTTAGGATGGTAAAAATACAACAATTTTGCAGAGCGCTTTTGCGTGCGTGCGCACGCGCACGCTATCACGTCATTATCATGGTTAAGTGATTATCACGTTAATAACGATAGTGATTATCACGATAGTGATTATCACGATTATCACGTCATTATCACGTTATCACGTCATTATCACGTTATCACGTCATTATCACGTCATTATCATGGTCATCGTCATTATTCATGGTTAAGTGCGTTTGTGGTCCACTTAATCCTAATTTCTTTGCTGCTATTTTGGAGAGGATGCTAGTATTGGAACCAGAGTCTAACTTGGCAAGTATTTCGATGAACTCGCCTTCTGAATTCTCGACTTTGACCTTTTGAATTGGAAGCAGTCCCACTACTGTTTTGATGTCACACTGCTGTTCAACGGTATTTGTGTCAGCATTGTTATTGACGGCGTTATGGTTTGGATCCTGGAATGGGGCCGCATTGGGATCTAGGTTTGGAATCTTCGGACCTTTCCTGTCATTGTGGAGGGATCGATGATGGTTCTTCTTGCATTTGTCGCAGGTGGTGCTATCATTTTTTTTACAATCTCTAGTATGATGAGGTCGAAGGCATTTCCTGCATCTCTGATTTTGCTTGACAATCTCCCATCTTTGATCAACGGTTGAGGATTGATAGTGAGGACATGCAGCTAGCCAGTGTTTCGCTTCGCAACCAAATGGACATGGGCCATCCTTAGACACATCAATGTCCCCTGAATTGTTGTCAGTTCTTCTGTTGTAAATTCCCCGTTGGTGGCTTTGTTCCTCATTGCTGCTTTCGGGATCAAACTTTCCTCTTGATCTAAGACTTGCTTCATCATGTAGCCACTGAGCAAGTTTTGAAACATTTTCTTGCTTTTTATTTCTTTTCATCACCCTACCAAATTCTGCATTGTCTCTTGGATCAAGTTTTGATAGAAGTTGAGACATAAAGAATGGGGCTTCAGACGATGAAGTGACGGAGCAATCGTTATCTTCCATGTCGTTGACATAACCTGCTGTTTGCGTTGCATATCGTGTGAGTGATTTAGAATCCCCTCTCACTGATTTCTGGTTGTTAGTTCGTCCCAATAGCTCGTCCATCATCTTTCGTTTATCAGCGAACTCAATGTCAAGGATTTCCCATGCACGATTAATAGACTTGCAAGTATTAACTTGGTCTGTCTACCAAAAGTTTTTTGGCATTGCTTTTCTGAAGCGTTGGAGTTGTTCATCCTTGTCTTAAGAGCATTTATTCATCCAATGATTGAATTCTTTCTTCCATGTTGAATACGATCTACGACTACCATCCCAGGTTGGTACTGGTAACTTCTCAAGACCACTTGCACTTGGTTTTGAACCTTGCATAGCTTCAGGCATTTTTGTTATTGCAGATGTCATTGCCTCTAATGAATCAGAGTTAACTCTAGGGGGTGAAGGTCGGCTTAGCTTCTTTTGATAAGCAGCATATGCTTTAGCAACTTTTAAATAGTTCTCTTTCAAACTTTCACCAACTTTCTGATTAGCCGATAACAATTGATTCTCTTCACTCCCACCATTTTCTACAATTTTGTCGGCTATTAATTCTTGTTGTTCTTAATATTTCTATATTTCGCTTCAATTATTTTAAATGTACCTTCCAATCTTTCTAATTGAGGTTCTACACTAAAAACTTCTTCAAATTCCTCAAATAATTTCTTTATAGTTTGAATAGCTTTGTCCCTTTTTCCAATAAGAGTCTTCAAATCAGCAGTTTTAGGTGGCATTTTGAGCGATGTGATTTAATATTCAGTTTTGTATATTTAATGAGCCTCGTTTTCGTGTTTACACGCTGTCCACGCTATGGGGCTATATTTTTATTTCAAATATTTTGTATTTTCGTACTTTTTCGTAAACAAAGTACACAAAGTAAACGATTTCTGATCTTTCTTCGACTTTTAACAACTCTTGCTCTTCAGGATCATTCAAATGATGGTCTGTCGCTGTATATTTGCTGTCGGTTGTCCTTGAAAGCTTTGTTTGTTGCCAAAGTTTCTCCCCGATTTTTGCAAGCTGGCAAGTCCACTTTAGTTCACGAAAATTTTGACTGTGTGTCAATACACGACACAATGTGACAAAGACGAAGTAGTCAACTACATTAAACAAAAACATTTTTACAATTAATTACTTGATAAAGTGTGAGATTTAAAAGCTAAATCTAAAGGAAATAACGTTATTTAGTTATAAATTTGATAAAACCTTGACTCACCTTGTCCTTGTTATTGTTATATTATTACCGTCGCTTGCAACTAACTATTAACGGTCGCTTATAAAAACATTGCCTATTCACGTGTTTCTGCTGGGGTCTATACCGTAGGCTAATTCACGTGAGATCTTAAGTTTTCTTATTTTGACATAATAGCTATTTTTCAATAAATATATTGATATTTTAAACTTATTGAATGATCAATATTTTAAGTTTCACGCCAGTTGTACCAAAGGTTTATGTAAGCGCTATAGCGTATGATAAGTTTCAGATGGCATGCAACATGTACACACTGCGTACCTATTTTTCACATTTGCACAAATGACAAATTTGAAAAAGGGCCAGGAGCTGAGAGAAGAATACAATGAACTTTGGTTCAGTTTTTTGATTGTGTTCCTTATTGTAATCCCTGAAATATCAAAGGAAATACATATAGAGCAATATTTTAAAATATCGTAATAAATATTTTATTGTGTTCTTATAATTATGATGTACATGAGAACAGTGATGGATGCAGAAAATTTAGGGAGAGATGAGAAATGGGGTGCATAGCACCGCCAAACGAGCTGTGAGGATAATGGGGCGAAAGCTGGTAATGGGGGTAAGGGGTTGAAGACCCTATGAGATTTTGAGATTTTTGGTCTTATTTAGTTCAAAATCCTTGGTTTTTGGTAATATTTTGTTCAAAATCTATGTTTTACTTAGTTTAAAATCTATATTTCAATCACACTACTGTCATTTAATTTTTTTGGGGGGTGTCTGTGTGCTAATTTCTCTAGGTGGGGTGGGAAAACTTTTTGGGGGAGGTGCAAAATATTTTGGAGGGCGTGCACTCCCCAGAAAAGCTGTCCATCGATGAAAATAGCTATTGATTAAACAGCATATAATATCACTAAGAAAGTAAATTTATTCCTTGCCTTTGTGGCGGCACACTTGTGTTTTAATCGGTTTCAGTATCTGAGGTTTCCATCTCACCGACATCATCAGACAATTCTTCACTCTCACACTCAACTTTTTCAACATCGCTTTCAACATCGCTTCCAACATCGCCATGAATATATTCCCTGCTGCTATCACCTGTTGCAATAAGTAAAATTTATTGATTTTAATTCAATAATATCCATGCTAATTCCAATATAAAACTACAATTATTGACCGAACTACCCGAACAAGCACATTACAGCACATTTACAATGAAGCTATATGGAAAAGCAATTGGCATGTAAGATTGAAATATTATATTTTCACTGTTAATTAAAGCATTGTGGAAGTTTTTTACATGGACCAAGTAAAACGCATGGATAAATGCATACAGCTACATTTTTGTGAACCTGTCCATACAATTTCAGTCTAAGGGCCTGTTTATAGGGAAGCCGGGCTGGCCCGCTAAGCGAGACAGCCCGGCAAGCGAGATCTCGTTGTGTAGTTATTTTTATAGTAAAAATTATCGTGCGTTTATAATGGACAAGCGGACTGGCCCGGTTGCCGAGATCTCGCTTGAAATAGGCGAGATCTCGCTTACCGGGATGGAAATTTCTCAATTATAACACTCACAAGTGGGCTAGCCGGGTTGGCGGGATGAAAGTTCAAAGATACCGCCGCAAGCTATTTTTAACAACTGTCAAAACAATACAATCTAACAAAATTGTCCCGGCAAGCGGGATGAAATTTTCTCATATAAATACAAGAGAAATTCATCCCGCTTACCGGGCTGTCTCGCTAAGCGGGCTAGCCCGGCTTCCATATAAACAGGGCCTAAGAATGTAAGTAAAATGTAGAAATGTAATAGGGTTTTAAAGATTTTGATAATATCTTTACGAGTCGTCCCCTTGAGAATTTTTAGCTCTACTATGACAGCATCGAATTTCCGCTTGGACGTATGCCACCAACTGCGGATTCTTAAATTTTCCTTTTTAAGCATCTTGCAGTTGTCACATTCGTCAACTGCAACAGTTTCTGAGATCTATGGATGAATTAAAGGCATAATAATGGTTAAATGTTCTGATGTATAATTTCTAGAATTTGCACAAGAATAGAATACATGTTTAGAATATATCATTTGTAAATTCTGAACGCCGATTGGCTAAGAGACGTGATGACATAACTCAATGTTAAATCAAAATCTAATCTAGAACTTCTATTGTAACTTTTTACGCTCTATCCAAATCATCAAAAACCCATTTGGGGTTTATAGACACTTTAATCATTGCCGTTTTTACGTTGTTGAGCTTCTACCCTAGTTTTTTAATATGGCCCAGTGGCGTTCTGTATTCGAAACTATAAATGGAGTTCAACGTTTATCGGTTTATGTTTACAATATTGCAGTGTATTTCCGGTCTGCGGTGATTGGTTGTTATTAATTGACATGTGACATCTAATTGAAGGGCGGCACGCAATCATCATAGGGATCCTTGCAGGCTCTCTTTCACCCAGAGAGCCTGCTCGCAGGCTACGGGATATTGTTTGTATTTTGTCTTTCAAACTTCCACGCAACCCGCGTGAAATTCCCCGTGTTTCTATCGAGTTATGGAAACACGTTTTTTTTCAGCTTTCGACCAATCAACGCCCGTGTTTTTAAAAGGCTATTTTATAAATGACTATATGGCGAGTGTGGTACTTCTCTGTTATACTGGCATATCGTAAATAATAAATACAGCGCTGCAAGCCCGCCATTGTGAATCAGGCAAAACGTACATTTGTTATGACGAACCGTTTCTATTGGTGTTTTCATTAGGTGAGCCGAGAACAGGATGTCATGATTCTTTCCTAACACCAGATGGATTATGTTCAAAAGAATGTTCGGGCGCTGTTAAGTTGGCTAGAAACTCAAGCAGTCCCAGGATGAAGCTTGTTAATGGGAGGAATAGCTTGGAAGGACGAATCCTAGTGTACTTTAATGGATCGTGGGGGACAATATGTGATGATGGATGGGATGCGAAAGCGGCTAGTGTTGCCTGCCGTGAGCTCAGTCTTGGCAGTCCTGTCGAACCTCAGATTGTGAACCAGGCGAGGTTCGAGAGCAATGACGGCTACAAGGATAATCTTGTTTGGTTGAGTGGGGTTTCTTGCAAAGGAAATGAAAACTCATTAATTCGTTGTGATCATGAAGGTAGGTAAGATGAAATGCGTCGCTGTAACTTTCTATCAGATCATTAGAGACTAGTATGCACTCTCACTCGAAGTAGAAATTCAAGCTGTATTGGAAATATTTAAATAATTAACAGTTATTCTACGAGTCGAATATGAGCTGATAGCCGATAAGGCGCGTAGCGCCGAATCGGTTATCGCTCATATTCAACGAGAGTGAGTGGAATAACTGTTTTATTATATACACAAGGTCTGAATTCACAGACTTTGTTTTTCGAATATTTTCAATATTTTTCTATCTTGTTTATCTTTTTATTTTCGCTCTTTCGGCCGATTATTTTTTCAAAAATATATATTTCTAACCATTTTAAATTCTAAAAATTTATTTGCTAACCTGAGAACAATTTGAGTTTTTTCATTGTGTTTTTAATCCTGTGAAGGCTATAAAAAGCGACAACTTGCCGTTTTCTCGTTTGCAAAACATCGTAAATTCAGTTTGGCCGCCATTTTGTTTTTCTCTACTAGCAGGATATGAGCTAATATCCTGCTAGTAGAGAACCAACCAGATTGCAGAATACCTCATATCCAGACCTTGTGTATATAATAATTTATTATATTCATTGCTGTTTACTTTTTGCAAACAACTGGCCGATATTTTTTTAAATATTCAGCACGTGAGCTTTGATATACCTGCCGTATAATATAACAGTCATAAACTGACTATGCCATAAACTGTTTGGGCCATATAACTGAAGTCATGATTAGATATTAAGCAAATATAGAAACGAAGTTTTTATTATAATAAGACAAGGAGCAAGACCTAAAAGTCCAGATCTTAGCTGGGTGATTTCAGACTGTTAATTTTATCTGGTTTCGCATTTATCCTTGATTCCATCACGCCATAAATAACGACCGTTACGTTATGTTTTGTTATGTTAAAAGTTATATACGCTTGTGGAAAAGGTACGTTTTATAAAATCGCCAAAAATACTGTAATTTTTGTCCACCATTTTGAATTTTTTCTTCCTTGGCAAGCCAACTAATGTCCCATGTTCGAATACGCTTCACCCAAGCAAAAAATAAATGATTTAGCTGAAGCACGACCTTCTTCAAGTCACTTTAATGATATCCCGCGAGTTTGACTTTCCTTCCAGCATGTAGTATAATATCGATGATGGGAGTAGTTCGATTTGACTTTGTATTTACAACATGCATTTCCTTAGCTCGCGAATGAAAAACATGGGGATGGCATGAAATGATAATAATATAAGTCCTTGACCTGAAAAGGAAAGACTGCGGACGCCAGTCAAACGATTGAAGCAAAAGATGACGCCATCGATCGACCTCCATTCTTAATTGGTGCTAAAATGTTTGAATTGTGAAATTATGCCTTGCCGGATAAGAATGGCGAAAATTTAACAAATATATCTGCATCCGAATTTCATATCGAGGCGATGTGATTTCCAGAAACCAATGGTTCATACGATTATAACAATCAACGGTTCATATACGTTTACGTTTTTTCCCAGATACAATAGACCAACTCTCACATTCGATCTGTTGTCCAAACGGCAGCCAGCAAAAAATGTGTTTCTCTTGCCCACAAAAAACTGGCGATAGGTAAGAAAAAGCAATGATTTCCAAAACGTTCGGCTAACATATTATTGTATACATTTTTTCTATTTATAAAAGTCCTGTAAACTTAGTATCGTTTTCAATGTTTTGTAAGATATCGGAGAATGTTGGCCGAATTTCATTTTAAAATACAACCTAGAATGCCTGGAACCTATATATGCTTGACCTGTGCACTGCGTTTTGTATAAATTTGTGCTGATGTTAAGATTATGATTACAATATAGCTGGAAATTATATATATTTAACTTCCATGGTCTATCAAGATATGACGGTGCGCAAGAATCCTTTGCCTTAACTTCATTAAACATTATTCATGGTGCGCACGTTTCATTTCAGACTCAGCTATCCCTATTGCACCGTAACTGGACGAAAATACAATGAAGCGGTCAATCAACGTGAGCGTGCACAAATTAACATAAACACAGGCAACAACATGACATAATGACTTCAATTCAGTTTTTGATAGACTGTGCTCTTTCTTATTTCATTCCAATGAATGCAAACGTCCCCTGGGTAATTGAAAGGACTTTAAATATGCCAATTTATACAAAATGCTGAAGTAAAAACGTCGATATAGTTTAAGTCATTCTAGGGTGTATTTTAAATGCATGATTCATGCAACGTGCTTCAAATCTTTAGTCACAAAATCTTTGAAAATGATACCAATATTTTTATATTGTTTACAAACTATACAAACAATAAAATGCTGAGAGTACTTTACTACAGTAATTGCTGATTTAATCGTGACAAAATACAAAAATATACTGAAAACGTTTGTCGAACGTTTCGAAATTAAAACCATTGCTCATTCTCTGCTTTAGCGAGAATTTTTTGTGTGCAAATACACGTGACGTGATTTTACTACATGCCTCTTGGTAACCAATCCAAGCTGAGATATGGGGTTGCTGAAAAATACTCAATTTTTTACTAATCCGGTCAGCTCTGAGATTGATATATTTGCCCAATAAACTGCGTATTTTTCCGTATTTTTGCATACAAACTTTTGGGACGAAAAAACAAGACTTGAATAATTCCTGTCTTTCTTAAAAACCTGCCGACCAAGGCCAATTTGATTTCAAAAATTTGATATCAAGTGTGTACTGTCTTTTGTATTCTAGCTTAAAAACATCTGAACCATTGATATCTGGATATCACATCGTCTGGTTAGGAAAATTAGGGTGTACAGTACCGCTCAGAATTAACCTAACACTGCAGTTGCGGTCGTTTTGCGGTTAGCGTGCGGTTAACATGCGGTTATCGGGCGGTTAACGTGCGGTTATCGGGCGGTTTTTTTGCGGTTTAGCCCACGCATCGGCAAGAAGCTAACCGCGGTTTAATAGTGCATTCTGATTCAGAGGTTTTCCGACCAAAAGCAGTAAAATATTCACGGTATAGAATGTCTTCAATAATAAAATGCTAACTCGGGCTATAATATAACAGCTAAGAGAAAACCTATAAAGGCCGTGGTGTCAGCGTCAATTATAATACGGGCTACAGCAGATCGTCGATTATAATAAAGTTTTATAATAACGGCTAGATTGTCAATTATAATAAAGTTTTATAATAAAGGCTCCAGGTTATAACGTGTGTGCCTAAAAGGCCGCGATTTTATTTACCTTTTAGGTACACGCGTTATAACCTTTAGCCTTTATTATATTAAAGAGAAAGTTAATTTAAGTTGATGCGCGCGCCAAATTCTTACTTATTCTAAAACATCTATTTAAACTGTAATAAACAAAAAGAGACCTATTTTAGCACTATTTTATTGCTGTCTGATGATTTTTGTTCAAAATTTGGGTAGGAGTTTTCGAGCCTTACTTGGATGAGTTTTTTTTGTTTGTAAACACTTGTATATATTGACGAGGCAAGCTTATTAGTTCCTTTATTTAAGCCGAAACAAAATGCACATGTATTGCTACGTGGGGCATCGTGAAGAATTTCAGTTTTGCGAAAGCGACAAATAAATCAATTTACAGCAGATCGCGACGCCTTTATGCCTTCTTCGTTTAAACTCTTAGTTATTCCAGCAACTGAAGTATTTGTCGAAAGTAAGGAGACAATTCGCTCCCTGGCATAAAGCGACAACCTCCCCATGCCTCAATGTTTACGGAATATGTCAATATTTATAAAGCACACACGGAGTTTTTATAATGACACCTTCGGAAATACAAGGCCTACTCTGGGGCGGTAAATCGCCTTAGACCGCCGTGAGATAATGCGATTTTGGGCGATTTTAGGCGATTTAAGGAAAAACTGGGGCTTTTAAGCACTGCGATTTAATGCGATTTTAGACGATTTTAGGCGATTTAAGCAAAAACTGGGACTTTGAAGCACTGCGATTTAATGCGATTTTAGGCAATTTAAGCAAAAACTGGGACTTTCAAGCAATGCGATTTACTGTCAGTGATTTAAGCAAAATACGACTACCATCTCATATTACCACTATGGCATTAACCCACATTTATTGTAACCCAAAATCGTTTCAAAATAATTAAGTATGATAGGAAATATGTACATCAAAACTTAGGATAAGAGACCCGTACGAATATATCTCTTCTAGTAAACTGTTTAGAAATATACCTTTCGCAATAGTTGATCACACTGGCATTCAGTTCAGCCACATTATCAGAACTATTAGCACACATTGTTTCTATGTCCATAACCATGTCTTTTGGTATCCAACCGATTTGTTTTTCAATGGCTTTGCTGGTAAAATAAACACCAATACCTTCCTGGTGACCTTTAATTTACCTGGTACATCGACATCAATTCTTTTCAACTGACAACTAATTTCTCTTCTCTCAGTCAATAGTTGTTTCATATCTTTGACTGCTTCTGGAAACTTTGTCAAACCAGTCAAAGCAACTGTGGTTTCTGAAAGTGAATGAAAAATATTAAGGTTTTTACTCTACAAGGGGGGGGGGGGGTGAATGGGTTTTCGGATCGTCGGATTTCACAGAAAAAATTGTCCGGATTTCGGATCTGGCAAATGTTTTACACGGATTTCAGATCTTATTAATTCA